GGGAAGATTCTGAGAAAATTGTACCTGATTTTCTCCAGACTTCATCTGGAGTATCTTTTCCCTATGCTGGCTTCACCTTGTAGTCTTTTGTTGAAATAAAAGATAGCAATGAGTACAATTATGCTGTTTTGTGAGTCCTCCTAGTAGGTCAGCAAATTTGTGAGCTAATTGTGGGATAACTTGACATACTGTATTAATGAATGAGCTAAAAACTGAAATACTCATGAGCATATCTGCCTATGGATGTTGCTTCATTTTCTCATGGTTCCAGACAGGATAATATCAGCACCCAAAAAAGACAATGAAATGTAAATTAGATGTTTACTACAAAGTATTGATTGCCTCCAAAATAACCTTGTCTAAAAAGTAATAAAAGTTAAAATATGAATGAACTAAATGATCAGTGAACACCAAAATCCATGCTTTTTATACAACAACAAAAATACCTGAACTTGTTAGCAAAATAAAAACACAAATTGAATACAACAAAAAGTGGTACAAAACGTTTTAATAAACTAGTATGGCAGAGTGAAAAACATAATTAATGAAAGAAAAATTAAGATTACTTAAAGCAATACATTTTCTATTGATTTAAAAAAAAAACTCAAAGGAAATGAAACTTTATTCCTCCCCCAGGACCCAAATCATTCTAAGAACTCACCTCCTACACATGAGTGCTGTCTGGCATTTAATCTCCAGATCTCTTTAGAGAAATGGTGTCAGTACAGCAGACAAACTTAAAAGAAAGCTCAAAGAGCCTTTCAAAACAAAGTCTCTGAAATTAGTGATATTCTCTAGAGGTACATTAATGGGATATAATGAAATTCAATGATTTGAGAATTTCCCAAAGATGATCATGGGAGAAACATTTCTATTGTTTCTTGAATGACAAGAATACAATAAATTCTCAAAATAATAGTCTGTACTGTAATTAATAAAATAGAAAAATCATTCATTCTACACAGGTTTGTGCCACAAATTTGTGTCAATGGGTTAGGTGATATCTAATATAAGTTTTAAAATCAAAATGCTTCACAGAAAACTTGAGAAAAAATTTAAAGGCATTTTAAATTTAAATTATTTGTTCAGACTATAATTATTGTAATTCAATCAATTTAAGTTACATATGGAAGGCCCTCCCATGTCTCTGTCATTTAAGGCCTCCTCCTTCTTTTTCTCTGATATTTTCTTCCTAGTACAAGAGCTTGAGGTTCTAGTCCGAATGTGACCAAGTCTTTCCCACAGTTCACTCCTCTTAGCCAGACACAGGCACAGCAAGCATTCAATAAATGTTAATAGTTGAAGGGGAAAGGTGATGGTAGAAAGAGCTCTAGTGCAAAGCAAACACCAAGAACTAACTCATTACTGCTCTCTACATCTAGAAGTAAGTTTTCCTCATGCCTCTGCACTTGCTTCTGTCTGGGCATTCAAAGATGTACAGACTAGGATGAAAGGTAATCTGTGTGTATGCTATGCTTGTAGACTCCCTGACTTCCAGGATTCTGTCTACCTACTTCATAATGCTTACCTTTTCCCTACCTTAGGTGGAGTCCCTAAATTTTACAATAGTTGCACATAAACCAAGATCGTTCAGGTCCTCACAGCCATCCATTATAGAGACAAGTATTATGGAAGGAATAACACCTTAAAGGAAAGCTCTCACCATAGTCCTCTTTTCCTTCTACTCTTAGTAGCTGATCATGAAGAACATAACTATGGCATTTAGGTGATGTTAATTTTAGTAATAAAACTTGACTCTAAGGACTGTGTTTAAAGTATATACTGCCTGCCCAAGTTGTATTAATTTCAAAAAATATGTTAATTTTGCAGTGAACTTCCTCTTAAGTTCTCAAAATAAAAGAAACTTTTTCTCAGAGGGAGAACCACAAACTCACCTTGAATGACAAAGGGATGTACCATGGATTACCTTGGTTAAGCATTCCATCCAGGAATGCAAAGAGTTAGAAGCAGGAGTATATACAGCTTGTAAGAAAAAACATCAAGGAACCCAGTGTGGATGGAATGGAGCATCAAACAAAATCACACAAGAGTGGGAAGAAGAAGAGAAGGAAGACTGCGTAGGGCCTTTTAGGCTAGTGCAAGAATTTTGGCTTTTCTTTGAGTGAGACAGGAAGATGCTGGAGGTGTTATCTTTTACCAGGATCATGCTTGCTGCTATATTGAAAATACAGTGGCGGGAGCAGAAGGTAAAACAAGTAACTAGTTTGGAAGCTATTGCAATAAGCCATGAAGGAACAAAATGGCACAGAATGCACCAATAAGTGTCAATTCAGGTTACATTTTGAAAGTAATCTAATAAGACTTCTAGCAGGTTGAATGTGGGATACAAAAGAAAGAAATCAAGAATTTCTCCCAAGTTTATCTGTATCAGTTGGAAGAACTGGATTGTCATATATTGTTTATTTATTTATTTATTTATTTGAGAGAGAGAGAGAGAGAGAAAGAGAGAGAGAGAGAGAGAGAGAGAGAGAGAGAGAGAGAG